TCTCACCTGTCCCCCTGTCTCCCCGGCCCACCTGCCTCCCTGACTCACCTGTCTCCCTGACTCACCTGTCTCCCTGTCTCACCTGTCTCCCTGTCTCTCTGTCTCACCCGTCTCCCTGTCTCACCTGACTCTCTGTCTCCCTGTCTCACCTGTCTCTCTGTCTCCCTGTCTCACCTGTCCCTCTGTCTCACCTGTCTCCCTGACTCACCTGTCTCCCTGACTCACCTGTCTCCCTGTCTCACCTGTCTCCCTGTCTCACCTGTCTCTCTGTCTCACCTGTCTCTCTGTCTCACCTGTCCCTCTGCCTCCCTGTCTCACCTGTCTCCCTGACTCACCTGTCTCCCTGTCTCACCTGTCTCCCTGTCTCTCTGTCTCCCCCGTCTCCCTGTCTCACCTGTCCCTCTGTCTCCCTGTCTCACCTGTCTCTCTGTCTCCCTGTCTCACCTGTCTCTCTGTCTCACCCGTCTCCCTGTCTCACCTGTCTCTCTGTCTCCCTGTCTCACCTGTCTCTCTGTCTCCCTGTCTCACCTGTCCCTCTGTCTCACCTGTCTCTCTGTCTCCCTGTCTCACCTGTCCCTCTGCCTCCCTGTCTCACCTGTCTCCCTGTCTCACCTGTCCCTCTGTCTCAGTGTCTCACCTGCTCTCTGATGTCCTGTCGCAGCTCTCCCAGGATCTGGTTGAAAATGATGAGCTGACCAATCAGAGCCTTGGTGTGTTCACCTGACAGATGATGTCACAAACAGGATGTCCAATCAGAGATCAGAGTAAAGATCATGGACGATCAGAACCGGTTAAGTGATCAGAACCTCACCCAGGATGGACTGGACCTCTCCCTTCCCTGAGGAAACAAAGAACCCATCACCGATCCGGATCAGAACCACAGAGCAGCTGAACTTCAGGTTCGGATCCAGGTGAGCTCACCTGAGTTGAAGGCCGACGAGTCTCCTTGGAACGGACAGTCGGTCAGCGCTCCGGCTTTAGCAACGCTGCCCCCTAGAGCCAGGCGGAGGGACTCCACTGCGCCCTGACAGAGAGAGGCCCGATGAGACAGACGCAGAGACGCGCCGGTCCTGCTGGACAGGAAAACGTCTAATCTTGAATCAGGATGAACCGAGCTGACGGAGGAGTTCTGGTCCAAACCTTCAGAGTGACCAAACTGAGGTTCCTCAGTAGAACGAGAGTTCAGAGGTCAGCTGAGGTACTTTATCGAGACGCGTCCCGGAGCCCTGCGGTTTTCAGTCCCACTGGTAGGAAACCCCAAGGAAGACCCTCCACAGCCTCTTCCCCACTAGAGCAACCGGTTCCTCCATTAGCAGATCCTGTAAGGTCCAGGGCTGGCACACGGCAACGTACCAGCCGGACAAAGATGGCTGCTGAGCCTTTGCAACTGCGTCAAGGCACACAGACGGACGCTGGAAGTGACGGGCAGGACTTTGAACTGAAATAGTTTTTCCAAGTTGTTGTTGCCAGAACAGCCGTTGTTCAGGTTGAGTTAAGTTGTCTGGGGAAGCAGCTGACCCAGTTGGAGCTCATCGGCAGCGGTATTTTTCCTTCTCCCTCCTGACGGGTGTGCTGATTTGACCAAACTGCTGACTTTGCCTGAATTCACACCAGACGATTTCTACCTCTAAGTCTGACTCGTACCATCTCCATTAAGCAATAGTTGACTGCATGTCACTATTCTTAGTTACTTATGAACGTCAATCTTCTTACCTTATAAAAAGGTTTTTTTGCTGCAAATCTGCAAATCCACTGCGGAGCAGTGGCGCTTACGACAGACGGCTGCTGTCCATTACCATCTCCTGTCCTCATCAGAAGGTAGGCTATGGAATGACAGGTTTGGTTTGCATCTGTGTGCTAAACAAGAGCGACATCAGGGGATGGATTGTGTGTTTCTTGAACAGTTTTACTGAAGTTAACGTGTACGCAGGTTGTTTTGGTGTCTGGTTTATGAAGAGCAAGCGATTTGATTGGCAGCAAACTGCATTGTCATGGTGCAACCTCCAGCAAAAGGTTTAAGAGAAATTGGCCCCTCAAGGTTGCTCAAACAAAATGATATCATCGGTGTGTCATCCACAGCTCCCGCTCGCAGGTGGACCGCCCACGTTCCACCGCCAGGAAGACACTGCCAATGCACAACTTGGAACAGAACCAGACATTATCCGTCTAGAGTGAGACAACGGAGACCTGGCCCAACGGGACCAACTCAGGAGCCCAACCTCCAGAGATACTGTCCTTTAACCTCCAGATGCCACTCTGCGCCAACGCACCTGAATCCCCCTCGTTAGCAGTCATCCAGCTCTGGTAACCAGGGATTCCCTTGGTCCAGGTATGGAGGAGGGATGTATCTAAAAGCTGAAGGATAGCAGCTCTGGAGGACTGGAGACACCTGGACTAAACTGCCTTTCCCAACTGGCCTGCGAACATCATGGGATCCTCCAGGGGAAATCAGAAGTAACATTTGACTAAAGAAATGTTAAATGTCCTCCACAGCTTCGTCCTTCAAACTAAAATCATGTAAAAGCCAAGTAAAACAATCAGTTATTCAGATTTCTCTAGTTAATTCATGCAATCTTTGCTGTTCTTATCCCTCTAACCTGAAGTCGGGCGTAGGATTTCTGTCCATGTCGGATCTCCACCATGTCCGCCTCTCTGGGCAGAGGAACCAATGGGGGAACGCCCTGACTGGAGTCGACCAATCGGCAGTCGGCATACAGCTCCACCTGCATGTTGCTGCGCTGGAGGCCGCCCAGTCTCAGGATGATGGAGTGAGTCCGTCCGTCGGCCAGGACGGAGTTCTGCAGGTTCACGGTGTGGACCTTCCCATCGGCTTTGACGTACCGGACCAGAACTGAGGACGAGGAGGAAAAGCTTAGTTGAAAATTAGGTTTTTCTTTTATCCGCGGTTCGTTTATGTGGGAGAGAAGTGGAACAGGAGAAAGCTTCAGCTGGATTAGGGAGGGAAACAGACTTCATGGAAAATGTTGAGAGAATAAGCTGTTTAAACAGCTAGCATGCCTAGGTGGGACCCATGTGGGGGAAAGGAGGGCAGACTATAGGGGCCCCACATGGGTTTGCCCATGTGGGGCCCCTATAGTCTGCCCTCCTTTTCCCCACATGGGGCCCACCTAGGCATGCTGGCAGGGGGCTAACATCGAGATCAAAACAGTCTCTACTTTATGAACGGTTTGTTACAAAAACTTAAAGATGCTTTAATGTCACTTTAAACATTTATTCATTACCTTCCCATTTGTTTTGAATTTGCATTAGCTCCTGCTAATGTTGTTAGCTCAAGTCAGTTATGTCACATCTGGCAAATGTTTTTAGCTCCTGCTAGTAGTGTTAGCGAGAGCTAGCTAATAGATTTTGCTCCAGCTTGTGGTGTTAGCCCCTGCCAATAGCTTACCTTTTGCTTATGGTGTTAGCTCTAGCTAATGTCATTAGCTCTTGCTAATGACATTAGCTCTAGCTAGCATCATTAGCAGTAGATCATAAGTCCATCTCGTTTATGACGGCCCATGAAACCGTTTTTGTTTCCCTCAAAGTCTCGTCGCGTAAGCGGCTCTCCTTGTACCGAGTCGCTGAACTTCCACCAACCTTTGTGGATCTTCCCCATGATGGCGACCTCCAGGTACTTCCTGTTGTCCTGCTTGCTGTAGAGCCCAAACAGAACCCCGCCCATCTTGACGGGCAGTCGGATTGTCGACACCACGTAGACGTCACTGAGCACGCTCAGACCACCCGACAGCTTCTCCACCGCCGCCACGTTCTGCTTGGAGTCCTGGAGGCTCAGAACGTCGATGACTGCAGGGAGGAGACGCAGACACACGGCAATCATCACAGAAACACAGAGATAACAACGTAAAGCCATTCAAGATGATGATGTCACTGCTTCTGCTGCACTTTAACGTTACAGCTGCAGCTGGCAGATTGTGGAAAATCCTTCTAACTGGTCAGGGAGAGCCGTTCTGGAAATGAAACCCAGCCGAACATCTGGAACTGAACCCACAGCTGCTGGTTTGACAGACTTCCCAGACTGCCCAGTTTCTGTAACATAATCCCAGTTTGACAGACTGGGATCTGGTTCCCAGAGCTCCTGAGGCCAGTTCTGAAAACCTGGACCTGATTATCAGACTTCTGCTGCCTGACACAGTTTTCATATCTGTGGAAACAGAAAACCGCTGAGTCAGCGAAATGCCGGAGACTTCAGTCACTTTAAATAAACTTTAGGTGTTGCTCTGATCTGCAGCTTTTCACTGCGACTCCACTTTGTAACGTGCTGAAACTTTTCACAATATGTGGACAAGAAAACACTTGATCCTCTTTAATAGAGTTCACACAGATGAAAATAAGATTAAAAAACAAGAAAAATGTCAAAATCTCTCTGAATTATTTACAGCCTGGACAGAGACTCAAATGGTTTTGTGCCGATTAAAGACGTTCAAACTATGGGTTTGTAATGTTACAGTCAGGACTAAATAATTTGATTTATTTTGCATCTGTAGGAAATAAAAAGGGAGATTCATTTTTCAAAGTCATATTTTCACCATGTTATTCATTCATTTTTAAATGAATGAATAAATGACAATAAATATATTGTTAGCTAGCTAGAGATTCAACTACAAATTAAATGAAAAAATAAAACTTTTATATTGGTGGTCCACTTCCTGATTTTGGCAAGTGAATCTGAATATTCCCTAAATATCCAAATTTGACCAATATTTAGCTTTATGCTAAATATTATCTAATGTTTAGGTAACAAATATTATGTATAGATAATAAAGTTAATTTTTAACCTTTGGCTAAATATTTGGCTTGCTAACTAAACATTTAGCTAGTTCAAGGTTTCTTAATATTAAGCTTAAAGGTAAGTATTTAGCTATCAAAATATTTAACTAGTTTAGAGCTAGCTAAATATGCAGCTTAAAGCTAAATATTTAGCTTGCTATTTAGTTAGCTAGCAAGCTATATACTATGCTGAATATTTAGTTTGAAACTGTTACATTTATAAATGAATATTATCTAATGTTTAAACTATGGATTTGAAAAATTAGCCCGTTTTTTCTCGTATGGCTGGATAAATAAACCAAATTATTGTTAGTTTTGACTGTGCAGCTTCCCAAACGGCGCCCCGTATCCAACATGTCCGACTGCGTCCAGCAGCTGCGTCGGCTCCAGACTGAAGACCGGAGTAAAGATTTTCCCTCTGATGGATCCTCCTTCTGATTGATCAGGATTTCTGGGAAATAAATGCTGTAAAAATCCGATCCAAGAGTGGGGTTGCTTTCTCTCTCTGTCCAATAAAACCGCCATGGAAAAACATTTGGATCAAAACGTCTCCCAACAATCCAAGACGGTGATGATCTGCTGGTTTCCAGGAGAAACAGAAGCTAACCTGGACCGGGTCAGTGTCAGTCAGGATGTGGGCCTGAATGTCATACCAAGGTCGGAGGAAACTACGGGACAAGAACGGTTCAGGAAACTACGGTGAAATAAACAAAATGCTGAAGCCACAAAACAGAAACGTTTCACGAGTGGAAAGAAAAGTTTTAAAAATCATAAAATGTCTCCGGAACGTTTGCGGCTGCTGGTTTCAACCTAATATCAGAAAGGAGATGCAGAAATTAAATCTGATTGGAAAAGTCAAAAGTTTTCCAAAAAATTAACGAAGGACTGACGTTTGTCAGAAAACATGAAGGAAGGAAGGATCTCTGTAGCAGCCACTGCAACGAGTCTGAAGAAACCTCTGACTGAAGACTGTTAGCATGTCGCTAACAGCTCAAAATCCAGGCAGCAGAGACGATTTTCCAAAGCAACATTTCCTGAATGACACCATCAAATGCTGTCTCGCTCTGCTAATCCACCTCGTTTGCTTTTGACACTTTATGGAGCTAAATCAGGGCCGTGAAGTTTGCTCAAAAGAAAAAACTATTTAAAACTGAAAAAAAGAGAATTAATTAAAACTTAATTTATTTTTCCAAACTGAAAAAAAAGATTTGAGACTGAAAAAAACGAAACAGTTAAAAAGTTCTGAATCTGAGGGAAAAAAAAAAAGTGGAAAAAACATGTTCAGAAGTCTTTTTAATGGGGATGGGGGGGTTCCAGATTTTTTTTTATTTCAAAATAATTCTTGAGTTTCAAATCTTTTTTTCAATTTAATTCTGTATTCCTTTAGAACAAACATCATGGCCCCAATTTAGCTCCATACGCTCCTCTTTAAGTCTCCACATATGGTGGATTAGAATCAAAGCTATGTCTGATTTCTTTTCTCCTGTTGTCAAAGCAAATCTTCCTGCTGCTGTTTAAGTGCTTCAGTTTAATTTTCCATGATTGCATCACATGAGCTCATTTCCACGCTGTAAAAAATTAAAGCTTTCATTTAAAATGCGTCTTTTCCTTACTTAGATGCTCTAAGAATTTACAGCCGTTTCAGCCCAGACTGTGGTTTCATTAAACTATCAGTTCCTCATGTCAAACACATTTTCAGATATAGCTTACCAGATTTTTAATATATGAAACTGAAAAAATAATTCTAAAAAGTTTTGAAACTGTAATATATAAAATTAAACTGAAAAACTATTTTTTTAATTATAAAAGATTTCAAATTAAGGAAAAATAAATTATTTTAAACTGAAATAAAAGATTTGGAAGTGAAAAAATATTACTTTTCAGATTTCTTTTTTTTTTTTTTAAACAAACTTCATGCCACCAATTTAGCTCCATAGCCAAACCCATCAGAGACGATCAGTACTGAGTTAATATACTAATTAACCTCTACAGCTTCACCTGACCAGAACCTCTCAGAGAAATAAACCCTTGAAGTCCGGCTCGGTTCTGTTACCTTGAACGTCCGCTCCGTCCGGGAACCCGGCCGACAGCTGAGCGAACAGAACCGCCAGCAGAACCGGGAAACCCCAACCCATTACTGGACCGGTTCCGTCTGAAAAGTTCCAGCAGCAGAGCAGAATGATGATGGAAAACAATAAACCGAGCTGTGGGTTCGGAACTGAGGATGGACCCGAACCCTGAGGCGGCAGCAGTGGGGGGCGGTGGGGTTCGGGTGAAGTTTCGGTGCGGAGGAAGAAGCGGCGGTTAGGGGGAGAACAGGCTGGGTCCAAACCGAGAGACGAAAAGCAATAAGTCACGCACCAGTCCGAACCGAACCGACCCGAACCACCGGAGGAGAAACTGACGGTCCAGCCTCACGAGCTCACAGCTGGAAACTGCAGCTGGCGCGCGCGCTCACCCCGCAGGCGCGCGACCGGAGAGAGGGACGTTCACAGGATTCAGCTCCGAACCGGACGGGTCCTTCTCCAGTTCTGATCCAAACGGAACCCGAAACTAAAAGAGTTCAAGACTCAAATCCTGGATTAAACAGCAGAAACCTGATTTATGAAGGGATGCGGCTGATCAGCAGCAGTTCAGGTTAGCTTCATATTGCGATTAATCAGGTTGATTTCAGTGTGTTATTGATTAATCGCAACTTAATTTCAAATAATGAACAATTTAAGCAATATTTTTATTTTTAAGACCATTTTTTCTGCTAAATTGTTAAAGAAATAGACATGAGCTCATCGACGACAATATTTATCATTTTTAATTTGATCTTCAACCATCAGATTGGAGCAAAGTTCAGCTTTTCAGGAATGTGGTTGCCGACATTAGCATTAGCGATAGCTGCTAATGCTAACTTCAGAAGCGTTAGCATGCTGACATGCTAGCAGTTAACATTGAGATGCCATTTTATGCTTGAATAGCTTCAATGACAGGCTAGCTTCTTTTAGCACAACTTGAACACAATAATAGTCTTTTCCATATCAATTTAGAAGCTGAATTGAACAGAGAAGCGGCTTCATCATCCATTGCTGTCAGCGGATTTAGCTTGTGCATCAGATTTGCAGTCGTATCAGGAACAAACGGCTACAAATGTTCCACTCTGAAATTTTGTATAATTTTTTTAATTGACTAATTTCATCAGCATTGATATCGGAAGCAGCAGATACTATCAAGTATTTAACATATCAATATCGGCCCAATAAGTAAAACTGGACCAATATTAATTATTCAATCATAACGACCAATGTTTATTTACATCCTGTTAGTTTGGGTTGTTGTTTGTTTGGTTATGTGTTGTTGATCCAGGATTATCAGTTCTCTAGCTGATAATCCTGTTAGTAATATCTGTTGTTTATTCACAGTGTAGAAAGAACAGAAAAATATAATATTTATAATATTGGTCAATTTTCATATCGGTGCATCGCCACTGGACATTTTAGAAAAACTAAAATCACACGACATGCAGGTGATCTGTTCTCAGTTTTTGATTTTGATTTTTAGGAACTAAAAATTTAAAAAATCTGAATATGTAAATTAAACTTCAGCATCTCACTATGAAACAAATAAAGAAAACTGAAGCAGGATTACTTTTAAACAAAATAAATTTAAAAAGTGTCTGGATGGAGAGGAAGAAAGTTTGTGCTTCTGAATTCACCAAAGATCTTTTCTTCCGCTGAGAGTCTCCACTCACCCTGACCTGACGCTGCAGGTGCTCCAGGTTCGCTTTCCCTCTTGTTTTAGGGTAAACGTCAGATATTAACAGGCTGTTAGAGTCAGCAGTTAGGAATGCAGAGCTGCATACTGTCAACATGCAACAGCAGCGCAGAAACAAAGCCGCCTCAGAGAGGCTCTCCTTAACCAGGCCTAATAACACAGACGAGTTTCAGGCAAGGTAGCTGCTGCTGCTGGAGTTATCAACCAAAGTCTATGAGATTATCAATTAAACTACCGTAATACACTTACATAAGACTAAGATAAACAAAGTTAAAGGTAAGCAACACTAAAACACCAAGATAGGAATAATGTGAAGTAAAGTTAAACTATGATGAGAGGACCAGAGGTAAAATAATGGCAAGATAAAGGCAAACAAAATTAAACTAGGATGAGATGAAGTTACATTAAACCAGTGGTTTCCAAACATTTTCTGCGCCCCCCTATGGATTACAAATGGCTGTCTGGTTGAAACGACGCGTGTGACGGGTGGGAAATAGCTGAAAATAGACACCAACATCGGTAGCCTACAAGCTACTTGTTAAGCTTAATGTGCTGTATTGACATTAGCTAGTCATCTTTTAGCTAACATTACCTGCATCCAACAGCTTTACTCAACTCAGTCGGTTAGTTTGGAGGGAAAAACTGAAAAGTTCTTTGCGTTTTGCTGGTTTGCTGCCGTGATTCTAACACAAACCTACGTAGCTCCGCCCAGCAGCAGCAGGTCTCCTTCACAGGTGGAAACCCAGCGCGAGCGTGTAGCACTCATATTGCGTTTATAGGCGGCTCGGAAAAACAGGTTACAACATGTTAACAACGGATTAAACAGTTTTAACTGCTGATAAAAGTGACAGAGGACACAAATATGGGAAGTGTGGAAGCCTCTACTGTGTCAAATTGACAGAGGGATAACAGAGAGTTGGCCATTCTAAGGTAAAAACCCAGCGCATACAGTGTTCATGTTTTGGTTTTTTTTTTTCATCCAGACGGCCCGCGCCCCACAGTTTGGGAACCTCTGCATTAAACTGAGATAAATTACACAAGCTAAGATAATTAAACTAATCTAAGGAAGATAAACATGGATAATATGTGCTAAACTTATGTCAAATAGAATAGGCAAGTTAATCTAAACTAGGTTAACAGAAAATAAATTAAGCTAGCACAGATATGTTAAACTAAGGTACGGTAACAGAAGACAAGCTAAAATAAGCAAATAGAGCAAAGTTAACCTAAGCTAACATGAGATCAAATAAAACTAGGCTAATAAAGCTAAAATAAACTGAGCTGGGCTAACAGATGCTAAGCTAAGGGTTTAAACTAAGTTAAAATGAAATGCCCTAAGATAAGCAGTAAAGGTGATCTTTACTAACTTAAGCTAAAAGACAAGTTGAACAAAAATATGAAGCCCGATGTCTGTTAAGCTAACAGAAGCTAACAAAGATTTAAAAAAGCAACTTTTGGAAGACTTGGAGAACTACTAATCACACCTGATTTTGTAGCAAAACTTTTTCTATATAAACTGTCTTTAAGTTTTTGTTGTTGATATTAAAACTGTTTGATAAAAAAATGTCTTTTAAAAACTTGTGGTTAGGTTCTGGAACGTTGATCCATGGAGCAGGAAGCACGAGTTTCAGGGAGGAAAATGTCCAGGATCTGAAACAAACCCAACAGTTTCTCCTCCGGCCTCCCCTCCAGCTCTGCGGCTGTTTGTTTCGGATCCTGGAGCGTTGCCATGGAAACGTGCATTTAACAGCAGGTGAGGAGGAGGAGGGAGGAAACTCCTTCATCCAACCGTCTGACTTGGTTTTCCTGCTCAGCCTGCAGCAGCAGAAAGCAAAGCATGGAAAGTGAGAAGCAGGAGAGTTTTCCCCTTCAGAGACTGAGCTGGTTCTGTGTCGGTTCTGCTGGTTCTGGTAGTTTCTCTGTGAGCAGAATGAAAGGAGGATTTCAATCCACAAACTGTTTCCAGATCAGCTCGTTAGCAGTGAGGGACCCCGGCCAGGATTCCTGCATGGTGCCGTCATGTGCAGCTGGGTGTCCCTCAGGAGGTCCAGACCCGGTCCAGACCGACGGCTGGAGGCTCAGGGCGGAGGGGCCACATTTACATGTTCCCAACTGGCTTCACTGATCCAGTCTGCTGTAAAAATATGACTCAGAATAAAAGTATATGGAGCCGTTTGCAAAGTTACAGGCCACAACAAACATTTTCATTCATTTATATGTCAGTTTCAAACTAAATGTTTAGTTTACATCCTAAATACTTAGCTCCAAACTAAATATGTAGCTAGCACTGCAAACTGAATATTTCATTAGCAAGCTAAATATTTAATTTACAACCTAATTATTTTTGATGCAAACCAAATGCTTAGCTAGCAAGCTACATATTTAGCTTCAACCTTAATATTTGCAATACCTTGCAACCTTAATATTTAGCTTAAAGTAGTTATCAAACTACTTATTTAGCTTCAAACCAAATATTTAGCTAGCAAACTTTACTAGTTAAATATTTAGTTTAAACCTAAATATTTAATTAGCAAGATGAATATGTCGCTTCAAATTAAATATTCAGCTTGAAATATTTAATTGCAAACAAAATATTTAGTCAGCAATGTAAATATTTAGCTCCACACTAGTTACTGTTAATGCTCTTCTTTGTTTTTCTCCATCTTCTTACAGGATCTCTGCAAATATCAAAGTGAATTTTAAGGCTTTTTAAAAGAACAATCTCAGTCTAAGAAATGTGACAAATACCTGCTGGAAGTTAACTGAAAAACTTAGATTATTATCTTAAGTAGTTAAATTAAATAATTGTAACTTATATTTCAGCACTGAGATTAAACATAATATTATACTCCTGTTAACAAATTTGAGAGTTTAATTTATTTTCTCCTGCATCAGATTACAGGAATGTTTTAATTTTAATTTCTCAAACAAGGAGCGTTAATCAGCAGGTCTGTACAAATGGCTGAATATTTCTAAAAATTAAATCCTAATTTACAGATTTATGCTGTAATCTGATTTTAGTTTAGTGAAAAGCAGAAACCTTAAAGATGTAATCCGACAAACCGAGGATCTTCCTAAAAGGAAGTGATTAATGTTTTCAAACATTGCTCAGATGAAGCTGCAATGGGTTGAATATCTTTATTTCCTGTTCAGCACCCAGACCCACTTCCTGTCCGCTCCAGGCTCATAAATTGTTTCTGTTTGGATCTTTTCCTGGCCGTCCCCCGCGGCGGTGAACCTGGAAAAGATCTGGTTTTTCAGTCCCGTATCGTCCTTCGTTTTCCTCAGCCGTCCCCTTCTTCTTCGTGGGCCCCGATGTGCTCCGGGTCCGGCGGCTCCTCCAGCGCCTCCTGGTGGCCGTGTTGGATGGACACCATGCCGGTCAGCAGGGCGTAGCTCAGCATGGCGCCCAAGGCAAACAGAGCCGACAGAAACTGCTTCCTGCGCTTGTTGGGGACGTTGTCGAAGTCTCCGGCCTCCGGCGCCGCCGGCGCTTTCTGAGCCGACGGCTCTGCGGCAGAGAAATGATCAATCCGGAGGATTATCAGCTGTGGCTTTACATCAACGCTTTAAACAGCTCGAACTGTTCATGTTGATATAAAATCTGTTCTAGAAGCATTTAATATTTTCCACTTCATTTTTACAACAATTTCATCAATAACTGAAGTTCTTATTTATTATTTTCAATAAAAGAAATAAATCTGGAATATATTTTAGATATTTAAAATATTTCCCATTTACATATTAATTTGTTTTAATTCATCAATGCAAAACATTCTCTAAACATTTATATACACAATACATTAAATATCTGTTGTTGCTGTACCAACCGTCTAGACCCCTCAGATCTTCTGGTTCTGGTTCTGCTCTGCATCCCCAGAACCAGAACCAAACAGGAGAAGCAGCTTTCAGCTTCTGAGCACCACAAATTTAGAACAAACTTCCAGAAAACTGTAAAACAGCTGAAACATTGAGAGCTTTTAAATCTCAACTAAAAACCCTGTTTAGAGTTGCTTATGGCTAAATTAGGATTAGAGTGTGGGTTTGATGTCTTCAATGTATTTGACGTTTTTAATGTTTTTATCTTTTCTTTTTATCTTTTTATTTCTCTTTCTCACTGTTTGCGTTTTAATGATGTTTTTTTAACTCTCTCACATGCTGTTTTTATTTTAATTATGTGAAGCACTTTGAAATGCCTTGCTGCTGAAATGTGCTATACAAATAAAATTTGATTGATTGATTGATATAATATGATGTATAATAACATTTTATGATTATAATTTATATTTAAATGTTTATATAGCTTTATAAACATTTTTAAATATTTGAAATATTTAACATTTACGTAAGATTTTAATTACACTACATCATTTAATTTAATTTGTCCTACATGCATAATATTCTCAAACATTTAACTAAAAAAGCATTTGATTAGAAATTATATGTATATATTTAAACGTGCTTACATAGTTATATTACTTTACGTTTTAAAATATTAAAAATAGTTATGACATTTACATAGCAATTAAATCAAATTAATTAATACATAACACTCAAATGGTTAATTTATACAATATTTTTATGATAATTAACTTTTTTTATGTTTAAAATAATTCTCATGCTGAAGGTAAAACTTTAAAACCTTATTTTCTTTCTGTGACTCTGTTTTCCCTGCACCAGATTTCGCTCCTCCTCTGTCACTGAGCTCATCTGTTTACAGACACAGTTTATATGAAGTCATTTCAACCCATCATTTCAGGGCCAGAAGTGACTTGTGGAGCGTTTTCCTGCAGATGCTGCCAGATGTCGCTCACCTCGGCTGTCTCTGGGGAAGTACAGCAGCAGGATGTTGGAGCAGAAGTCGCTCAGGTTGTCCAGGGACTTCAGGTGCTGCTGCAGCTTTCCGTTGGGAAGTCTGCACTTCAGGATGGGAGCCAGGTGGCCGAAGACGTAGGCGTCCAGAGACGAAGGCCTGCAGGGGAAACGAGACAACAGAAATGTCAGCGTTGGTGTCTGGGCTGCACGCGTCCCTTTTTTAATAAAGTTAGTGATGATTTATTGGAGAATGAACGTAAAAAACATTACATGCTTACTGCAAGCTAAAATAAATAAAAAACATTTTAATTACTCACTTAAACAAAGAGGCGATTATTATTGCCATCATAATCGTGCTTATGGACAAATCTCGTCCAAAGCAACAATGTTTTAAGGCTGATATTATCATTGCACGATCTGTACCCTTGGAAGAAATATTTACGGATTATTCTTAAAATGTACATCAATAAAGTGCAACATACTTATTTACAGTAATTACAATATTTATTGCTATAATTTCTCATCTTGCTAGGTCATGTTCTAATTCTCTTAATTAATAATTGTCAATTTAGTTCAAGAATTAGAAAACTGAGTATTTAACTCACTGGACTGTTAGCTAGCAGCTACAGCCGATGCGCCCTCTGGTGGACTCATCAAGGACAACAAGAGACCTTCATTTTATATAATTGCATAATTTTTTTATGTTTCCTTTTTTGGCTCTAGTGGCTTTTATTTGACAGTGCTCAGACAGGAAAGTAGAATAATGAGAAGGAGGAAGACGTGCAGCAAAGATCACCAGGCCGGGATTTGAACCTGCGTCGAGGACTGAGGCCTCCTGATGTGGGTTAACGCTGCGCCACCGCAGCAGCCTGATTGTAGCATTTGTTTAGATCAAATAAATGTTACCGTACTGGTGTTTATGTGAAACACTAATTAAACCATCTTTCCTCACTTTTGATAACCGTTCTAAAGTGGACAAAGTGAGAAGTGTTGCGAAATGCAATTAAATCGTTTAGATTTTTATTTCTTGTAATTATATTCAATTAATACACTATTTTATTATTTCAATGATATACAATAAGAAGATTAATAAAAATACCCTCCCTGCAAGTATTTCAGATTGTTAGCTTAGCTCTTCGCCAATACATTCGGCCATCTTGGATTTTTTTGCTTCCTCCGTTTTAGGACTTTCTTGTTGTAACCAAAATAGTCAGAGAACAAGCAGAGGGAATTCTAAAACAGTTTACAAAAACCATTAATCTGGTACAACTAACAAAAGGCAGAGCAAAGTTTATTATTATTACCAATGCATTAACTTAAAAACATTGCAGAACCAACCCAAAATACACCAGCAGTTAGCAGCTAACTGTTAGCTGCTAAGCTAGTGGGGTAACTGGCATGATAGCATCAAAATGCTAACACAACAAAGCGGTTATTTCACTCTCAAAACATCGACTTCATGACACTGCTTGGTGTAACAACACATATTATATAATAAAACTTTGTAGAAACAATTTCCAGGCAGCGAGGGCGCTGCACGTCTGGAATAATTCACTACAATAACCGTTTTAAATTTCACTCTGAGGTCGGAGATGGAAAATCTGCAGAACTTGAGAACTTACGAGTCTCCAAAGAAGAACTTGTGTGAGCCGAGTCTCTGCGACAGGAGGTTCATGCACTCTGCAGCGTCCCGGTACAGCTGGAAAACACAGGTCCAAACCGCGACTCAGAGGGTAAAACTCAACAAACATGATCCTTAAACACCTCGGTTCTGATAAAAACAGGTCCAAAATGCCTCTGGCAGCAGGAAATACAAGGAACATGACCAGAACCGGAACAGAGCCGTTTGTAGGGAATAGTTCAGAAAGAATAAAACCGGAGCTCTGAGTAGCAGGAAGAAAACCGTCAGAGAAACTAGACCGACCTTCGACCTCAAAGGATTCACATAAAGACGGAGCGAATGAAGCTGACCTGAGATTATATTAAAATAAACCAGATTAATCAGATTAAAAAAATTATCCTTCTGCAGATTTTTCATTTAACAACAAACTTATTTTACACAGTATCAGGAATACATTAAAAGATGCAAATAAATAATTTCCTTTTTGATTTAAGAAAATCAACATTTTATTACCTAAAATGCATCAACAGCATTCATTCAGAAAACCTTCAGATGACTGAACAGCAGTACAGTGAAGGACTGATCTGCTGATTATTATTTTATATTGATTAATAATTGGATTAAAAGGTAATTAATACATTTTATTTACAGAATTGCAAGTGAAAAATCTGCCACTAGATGAGTTCTGGATAAATCATATTTACACAAAA